AAAAAATTTTTGCTTATCCAAACTGCAGATCATGGAAAACTCGTAGTTTAGCTAATAGATAAGATGACTGAAATGAGATTCAACCTCTCTTTTTGGTCTAGAAACTGAAAAAACAACAAAATGAAATTTTTCTAGGTTAAGTATAAAGTTCTAAGTTTACACTAGAAAAACAAACTCAGCTGTTCAAGGGCAGGGTAGAAAACACCCATTTGTCAGCAGGCTATATAGTTAAGTACCTGAGGCTTACTGATCACAAGCTCACTGTGAGCTGAACAGAACAAAGCTGCTAAAACATCTGAAGCATACCTAGTAACATAGTATAATAAAGATTTGTAGTTCTCAACCTTTTGTCGGGCTAAACACATCTTAGAGGTACAATGAACAGTGAGTTGATGAAGCAGTGGTCCTCGATTAGATAGAGGGTATAAACTTGTCAGCCCCTCAGAAAATCAGGGATCCCTTATTTGAATTCAGATAGTTACAGTGCTGTTGTGCTGGGCATATCCTGAGAGTATGGTTAAGTCTGGACATGCTATTTTAAGAGAGATTCCGTATACCTGAACACACTCAGAATAGGGCAAAGGCAGTGGCAAGAGGTCCAGAAACAATGTCATAAAAAGAATATTTGATGGGGTGAGGGAGGATGTTAAATTTTGAAAAATGTAACTCAGCTGGGCGTGGTGGCTCACATCTGTAATCCCAGCACTTTGGGAGGCTGAGGCAGGAGACTTGCTTGAGGCCACAAGTCTGAGACAAGCCTGGGCAACATAGCCAGACCCTGTCTCTACAAAAAGTAGAAAAATTAACCAGGTGTGGTGGTGCATGCCTGTGGTTCCAGCTACTTGGGAGAATGAGGTGCAAGGATTGCTTAAGCCCAGGAATTCAAGGGTGCAATGAGCTATGATTGTGCCACCGTACTCCAGCCTGGGAGAGGGAGGGAAGGAGGGAAGGAAGAAAGGAAAATGGAACTCCCTAAACAGAGTAAAATCATGTCTTCCTCTGTAATTCCTCAACCTGTTGCCCCTTTTCCACTATGGAATGTATTACATGGTTGTGATTGTTTCTTTACAGACCTATCCTATTCATTAGTAAGTCATAGGAGGGAAGGGACTAGTTCTATTTTACCTTTCTATCCTCATACCTAAGTGCAGTGTCTGGCACATAGTAGGTGCTTAATTATTGTCCTCTGAATAAATTGCCAGTATAACACAGTTATAATGAATGTATAACACAGTTGCCAAGAGCCAATCTGCCTTGATTTGAATTCTAACTTAACCTCACTAATTGTGTGATCTTGGGCAAGCTCCCTAACTTCTCTTTGCCTTGGTTTCTTCATCTTTAAAATCAAGATTATAATAGAATTACACTTCTGAGGGTTGTTGTAAGGATCAAGTGAGTTAAAGCATATAAAGTGCTTAGAAGGGTGTCTGGAGTACAGGAAACAGTCAATAAATGTCACAGACAAATACAACGTATTATCTGCTTTCGTTTCTTGCTGTTACGTGTGTGCCTGCTTCCAGAAACCTATCCATTTCTCATCAGCAGTGGTCAGGGACAGAGGTTCCAAGACTAATTAACTATTACCCAAATACTCTGAGTAAAAGACTAAGGGACAACCTTATGAGTAGATAATGAGTGCTATGTTTCTCATGTCTGTGGTCCCTCTGCCTGGAACGTCTTTTACTTCCTTCTTCTTCTAATTCTTGCTCATCCTTCAGGACGCAGGATTCTCCAGGAAGCTTTCAGTAACTATCATATCCAAACGTGTGTTTCACGCCCCCTTTAATGTATTTCATAGCACTTATACCATGTTTTAAAAGTCTGTCTATCTGCCTGTCTTCAGTGATTCAACGACAGAAAGGACATGTCTTCACATCTTTAATCCTCAAAAACTAGTAATAACGCTGGCACATAAAAGGCCTTAGTAAATATTTGTGGAATGAACATTGCTAACCAAATGAATAAACAAGCTTTAGCATTCATTTAGAGATGGGATAACCAGATAAGCAGTCTTGGAACAACTGGAATGTTTGTGAATATCACATTGACCGAAGAGTGCTTTTTATAGCTTGAGAACTTCATGCCATCCACATGCGTCCAGTATCCAATGAAACAGAAACTAACACTGGTCTTCCCCACCCCTTCAAATCAGCAACGGAATAAGAGTACACAGCTTTTGGGGAAATCTTGATTAAGCACAACTCATAATCCAGATCATTCATCATCATCTTGATAATTTCTAGTATCTTATATAATATTTAAAAAATTAACAAAGGGGGAAAAACATTCCAAATACTCCTAATAACAAGGTTCTGATATTTAACAATCATTCATTCATTCATCTATTTAAAAATCATTTGAACACCTACAATACACCAGGCACTAAGATAAAAATACAAACTTTTCAAACAATTT